GAATAGAATAGAATAGAATAGAATAGAATAGAATAGAATAGAATAGAATAGAATAGAATAGAATAGAATAGAATAGAAAATATGGAATGGAATGGAATGGAACGGAATAGAATAGAATAAAATAGAAACTATGGAATGGGAATGGAATGGAATAGAATAGAATAGAATAGCATAGCATAGAATAGAATAGAATAGAATAGAATAGAATAGAATAGAATAGAAAATATGGAATGGAATGGAACGGAATAGAATAGAATAGAATAAAATAGAATAGAATAGAATAAAATAGAAAATATGGAATGGGAATGGAATGGAATAGAGTAGAATAATAGAATGGAATAGGAATAGGAATAGAATAGAATAGAATAGACTAGAATAGAATAGAATAGAATAGAATAGAATAGAATAGAATAGGAATATGGAAAACTAGAGGTCTTCTAGTCCAGCCCCCCTCCTCAAGCAGGAGACCCTGTAGCATTTTAGATAATTGGCAGTCCAGTCTCTTTGAAGTACCCACAACTTCTAAAAGCAAAAGCTGTTCCACTGGTTCATTCTTCTCACTGTTAGGCCTTCAGAAATGAACAAATGCCTGCCCTCTCCCTCCTCCTTATATTTATATAAGTGAATTAGGGGGCTGTCGGTCTACGGAATGGGACAACTCACCCTGGCCATCACACCATGGCCAAATCGCCTCAGACAACTCACCCCAGGAAAATTCACCATAACCAACTTGCCACAGGACAATTCAACCCGGGATAATTCAAGAAAAGGACAGGTAGAATTGCAGCTCACCCCAGCCTCGAGGACTTGTAACTTGAGAAGTTCAAACCTAAAGCAAGATCTTTCTTACCACAGTTGTTAAGTGAATCACTGCAGTTGTTAAAATTAGTAACACGGTCGTTAAAAGAATCTGGCTTCCCCATTTACTGGGCTTTTGTTAGAAGCAAAAAAAATCACTTTTTTCAAAGCTAACTTCAAACAGTCACTAAAAACGATGGTAAGTCAAGGACCACCTGTAATAGAAACACATATCCAGAATACAGCCCAAACCTCTGACCTTGTGGACTTGTCAGTTTTTTTCTTGAGCCATCCTGTCAAATCATGCATCAATTTTATTTACTCATAAATGTCACAGAAAATTTAAAGCAAACTTTAAGAATTCAGTTCTTATTCCTTTGAATCCCTTTTCATTCTTGTGAAATGTTATTCTTTATAATGCCTTAGTAAGACCACACTTGGAATATTTGCATCCAGTGTTGGTTGCCAGGATATAATAAAAGATATTGAGACTCTAGAAAGAATGCAGAGAAGAGCAAGAAAGATGATTAGGGGGCTGGAGGCGAAAACATATGAAGAACGGTTGCAGGAAGTGGGTATGTCTAGTCTAAGGAGACATGATAGCAGCCTTCCAATATCTCAGGGGCTGCTACATAGAAGAGGGAGTCGAGCTATTCTCCAAAGCACCAGAAGGCAGGACCAGAAGCAAAGGATGGGAATCAATCAAGGAGAGAACCAGCCTAGAACTAAAGAGAAATTTCCCAACAGAATAATTAATCTATGGAACCGCTTGCCACCAGAAGTTGTGGGTGCCCCATCACTGGAGATTTTTAAGAAGAGTTTGGACAGGCATTTGTCTGAAATGGTATAGCGTCTCCTGCTTGAGCAGGGGGCTGGACTAGAAGACCTCCAAGGTCCCTTCCAATTCTGATATTCTTCCTGAGCAGAAGCTGGCTACAGAAAATTAATATAGGAGCTGAATTAAATCCGATCTGGATCAGATCAGAGCTCAATTTAAGCTCAGCTTAATGTACCACCCTAAGGGCCTTAAGGAGTCAATCTGAATTTTGGCTCAAGAAGAGACAGTTACGAACATTCACCGAAACACCAGAGTCATGTATGGGGTCCCTCAAGCTTTGAAGAATCACCCTCTGTTTGTCCGTTTCAGAGAGTCCTCGCATCACAACCAAACCGCAAGATATCGACGTTACTCTGGGCAACACCGTCTATTTCATCTGCCGGGCAGAGGGGAATCCGAAACCTAAGATTATCTGGCTTCACAACAAGTAAGTAAGATGGCAAGTAAGGGCAAGATGGCAGAAGCAGCGTGCCGGTCTGTGTCAGAAAGATCTTGGAAGGTGGAGCCAAGAGACAATACCAAGGGAAAGGTCAGAGAAGAGATAGCGTAGCCCACAGACGGATAGTGATAGGGGCAAGAGCCTCAATAGAGACCCTCCCTAGTTTCTTGAGATGTCAAGCGGTGGGAGGATTGTACTTTCAGAGTTACAAGATTGGTGTCAGCTTCGCAGGGTAAAGCAGATAGAAATCACAACCAGATGCATTTGTTCTACTGAATTGTTAAGCTACATTGACAGAATCTTGCCTGTATGAAAGTGGAATTCTCCTTCTTGGTCTCCTTTACAACCTGAGTTACTAGGGAAAGCCTCTTCTGAGCTTCTAACCTGGCCCATTATTCACCTGCAAGCTGTGCTGTCTCTTATCTGATCCTTCCCTTGGCCGCATCTCTTTGCTCAGTCCCTCAAGGTCTTTCTCACACATACCTTTACACAGTCGGTTGACGTGACCTTCCCAGCTGGCTTCCAACAAGCACAGTCCATCGGGGAAGCTGGATTCACTTAACAACCCACACGATCCACTTGACAACTGCAGGGATTCATTTAATGACTGTGTCAGCCTTCAAGAACCCTTCTTCTGCTTGTCTTTCCGGCTGCCATAGAAATGGGGGGAGGGGAAAATTAATTGGGCTTTGCGGGAGGTGGAAGAGGGCTGGAGGCTTGAGATGGTGAATTTTAAAACTTTCACACTTGCTTACTGCACAGCTGTAACTTCTTATCTAAGTGGGCCAAGGCCAACCATCCTGGCCAGCCAGATGTCTGAAACACTACCTGAAGATGCCCCACATGACATCATACACATCACAGATTGGATGGCCAGTTTGAACTAGTGGGGGTGGGGAGGTTGCCATAAATTTGTGTATGTGATTTTCACAGATCAGATCTAGAATTCTTTTGATGCTACCACTTGATTCCCAGTAAAAGTCCCTTTCTCTATAACAATGGAGTCTTAGGGTGTCTTTCTTGGATTTTGATGATCCATTTAACCCCTGCCTTGCTTAGCAATGGAACTTCTCGTGCTAATTGTGGTCGTAAGTCAAGGGCAACTTATACTCCCAAGTTTGTGCACTTGTTTGACAGTCTTAAATTGTCTTGGCTCATGCTGATTAAGGTGACCATATGTCACCCTTGGATAATTTGACAGCAACCCTTTTCCCCACCTCAGGGAGAGTGTGATGACCCAGGCATGGCACAGAGACAACACAAGCAGCTGGCAGTTCAAACCGCCCCTTTATTGCTCCAAATTTCCCCAAACACTCCCACATTTCTGGCAAGTCCCAGAGCAAAGTGATGACAACTCTCCCCCACCACACACACACCCCTCAAACAGCCTCTGGCTGCAAATAGTCCAGCCCAGCACTGTGTACACCATGGCTGCACAGCAATAAATCCAGGAGGGCAAATCAAGGAGTTCAGGAAGCAGACGATCCAGGTAATTAATCCAGAAAGCCAGAAAGGGTGCAAGGATTCCAAGAAAGCTCAAACGTCAGCACGCAACACACTTCAGGAACTCAGAGTTTGTTCCTGACAAATGCCTCTCCCCACGGCATCTCCTTAAGCCTCATTTCCCAGGCGTGCCTTGTGAAGAGGGGCGGGACGCTCTTCTCCTGAGTAGCCGGCTCAGTCTGCACTGTTCTCGCCTTCTCTCCACTCTCCGTGCTCTCGGATCAGGAGGGGATGGTCCTTGCTTCTTGCCTGAGCTCTGTCTTTCACGTTCATCCTGTCCCGTTCCTCCCTGTCTAAAAGCTGTCCTAATCCTGAAAGCCCCTGGCCTGACTGGCCCTGCCATTCCCCATTTTCCAACCAAGCCACCCCCTCAATCTGTGTTGGTTCAGGTTCCAGCTCCTCTTCCCCCATAGAATCACGGGGGCATGACATAGAGATCGCTTGGATTGTTTGTTATCTAGGAGCAACACTAGTTGTAGTCCAATCCTTCCCTAGATCAAAGGAGGAATGAAGCTGGCTGCCAACTTCCTTTTTTTGCATTACAGCAACGAGATTGACATGAAGGATGATGGGCGGCTGAACCTGCTACAAGATGGCACATTGATGATCCAAGACACTAAAGAATCTGACAAGGGAATCTATCAGTGCCTGGCCAAGAACATTGTGGGCGAAGCGAAGACCCCTGAGGTTGCCCTGCGCTACTTCGGCGTTCCTTGTAATGTCCTCCAAATAAATGAAGATCTTTTTTTCCCCTAGGCCTATAGGAATCAGATGGATAACCTTTTTGTGCTGGTTTTAGGATGGGGAACCATGAAATCCTGGTAGTAGCGTCTCACCTGTCTTACCTGTATTGACTGATGAAGCAGGACCAATTTGGGAAAGTTTGCAAACTCACTGATGTTGTGAGTGGGCTTGGCCATCCCATAAAATGCAAATGAGTGAGAAACCAAAAGGGTTTTGAGGGAGTGAATGACGTGGCAAGGAGAACTTTGGGAAGGAGAAACATCTGGAGAACTTTGTCTCAGGCTCATCCGTGAGGGGCTGCTTAAGAAAGCCAAGAGGGCAACCACAACTGCGCCATCAAATCAATTAATGATGCATTTTTGAAAAGGAGTGTGGGTTTGATTGCACACATTGTGATTGGCCCCTTGGCTACTTTGACCCCCTCATTCTGGATAGCCCTGTTCGATCCTTCTCTGCCAAAGACTCACTGTTTCCTACAAATGTGGCCTTCGGGATGATTTTAAAGAACCAACATGGCCTTTGATTCCGAGGTGGTGAATTCAGCAGGTTCTGACCAGTTCTGGAGAACCAGTAACAGAAATTTTGAATAGTTCGGAGAATCAGCAAATCCCACCTCTGACTGGCCCTGCCCCCATCTATTCTATTTATTTATTTTATTTGGTTTGTCAATAAGACAAAGAATAATAAGAATAATAAAAAGAGTTATTCTCTGCCTCCCATTGAGTCCCAGCTGATTAGCTGGGTCTTCTTTGGTTGCCCTGCACAGGAGAGCAGAGCTGGAAAGCAGGTTAGTGGGGTGGGGAGGGAATGGGGATTTTGCAGTATCCTTTCTCTGCCATGCCCACCAAGCCACACCCACCAGGCCAGGCCACACCCGCCACACTCACAGAGCCAATAGTAAAAAAAATTGAATCCCACCACTGCTTTGACTCATGCTACAAGTGGTGGTGTCAAGCTAGATTCACATAGATATGCCAACATCCTAAACTTGAGCTAAGAAAACACAGGTGCGATATTTGTATGTCATGTTATAACCAAGCTCAAAATAATCCCCTCCAAGTTTTCTCAACAAAATTTTCAAAAGTGGTTTGCTGTAGCCGTCTTGTTCCTAAGGCTAAGAGAGAAGAAGTGACCCAAAGTCACCCAATTGACTCCATGCCCAAAAAAGGACTAGAACTCACCATCTCCCACACCAAACTAGCGCTCTAATAAAACACTTTAATACAGTGCTTTTTGCTTCATTTTCAGGCAAGAAAAACCAAATCCACAGCACAGATATAGAATAGGTGACACCTGGTTCAATAGCAGCAACTTGTGAGAGGGAACTAGAAGTCCTGGTGAACAGCCACTTAAATATGAGCCAGCCGTGTGCTGCAGCTGCCCAAAAAGCCAACACAGTTATAGCCTGCATTAATACAGGGACAGAATCAAGATCATGTGAAGAGCTAATATCACTTTATAATGCCTTGGTAAGGCCACACTTGGAATACTGCATCCACTTGTGGTCACCATGATACAAAAAAGATGTTGAGAAAGAGTGCAGAGAAGAATGACAAAGATTATCGGGCCTGGAGGCTAAATCATACAATGATTGATCGATTGATTGATTGATTGAATGAATGAATGAGTTCTTTATTGGCCAAGTGTGATTGGACACACAAGGAATTTGTCTTGGTGCAAATGCTCTCAGTGGACATAAAAGAAAAGATACATTCGTCAAGAGTCAGGAATCATCAGGTACAACACTTAATGATAGTCGTGGGGTATAAAAGAATAGAATGGAATGGAATAGAATAGAATAAAATTAGAATAGAATAGAATATGGAATGGAGTGGAATGGAATGGAGAAGAATAGAATAAGAATAGAATAGAATAGAATAGAATAGAATAGAATAGAATAGAATACTTTATTGGCCAAGTGTGATTGGACACACAAGGAATTTGTCTTGGTGCAAATGCTCTCAGTATACATAAAAGAAAAGATACATTCGTCAAGAGTCAAGACTCATCAGGTACAACACTTAATGATTGTCATAGGTACAATAAGCAATCAAATCATACTAGGAAACAGTCAATATAAATCGTAAGGATACAAGCGACAAAGTTCCAGTCATACAGTCACAAGTGGGAGAGGATGGATGATAAGGAGTGATAGAGTAGAATAGAATATTTTTATTGGCCAAGTGTGATTAGACACACAAGGAATTTGTCAGTGTAAATACTCAGTTTATATAAAAGAAAAGATACATTCGTCAAGAGTCGAGAATCAAAGTACGACACTTAATAATAGTCATAGGGTACAATAAGCAATCAAATCATACGAGGAAACAGTCAATATAAATCGTAAGGATACAAGCGACAAAGTTACAGTCATACAGTCACAAGTGGGAGGGGAAGGGTGATAAGGAGTGATGAGAAGATTAATAGTAATAGTAGTGCAGACTTAGTAAATAGTTGGGCAGTGTTGAGGGAATTATTTGTTTAGCAGAGTGATGGCGTTCAGGAAAAAATTGTCCTTGTGTCTAATTGTTCTGGTGTGCAGTGCTCTATAGCGTCGTTTTGAGGGTTAGGAAGGAACTAGGGATGCCTAGCCTATCCAAGAGAAGGGTTGGGGTGGCATGATAGCAGTCTTCCAACGTTTGACGGGCTGTCACAAAGAGGAGGGCTATCAACCTCTTCTCCAGAGCTCCTGATGAAGGCAGGACAGGAAGTCATGGATGGAAACTTATCAAAGGGAGATTTCAACCTAGAATTAAGGAGAAATTTCCCAACCGTGAGATGAAAACAATTCATCAATGGGACAGCTTGCCTCCAGAATTTGTGGGTGCTCCATCCCTTGAGGTGGTCTGGAATGGTAGAGGCCAGTTGTTCTCAACATGTGGTCTGGGGGCCCATGAAGTCAACGAGGGTCCATCAAGGCTTTAAAAAATGTTATGATTTAAATCTTGAGTTAGGTTTTTTTGGAGGTGGGGGGCATGGCTGTGGTCCATGGCCACAAAAGATATTTAAGGGAGGAGGTCCATGCTGGAGAAAAGATTGAGAATCACTAATGTAGGTTCTCCTGCTTGAGCAAAGGGGGTTGGACTAGAAGACCTCCAAGATCCCTTCTAACTCTGTTATTCTATACTGCAGAGGTCTTGAAACTTGGCCACTTTAAGACCTGTGGACTTCAACTCCCGCTATGCTGGCGGGAGAATTCTGGGAGTTGAAGTCCACCAGTCTTAAAAGTGGCCAAGTTTCAAGACCCCTGCTATACTCAGTCGGAATATTGCGAAATGGTTTGAGTTTGTTTATTAACCGAGCCCTTTTCTTGTCCTTTATGTTTTCAGCCAAACCTAGTTTTGTCATCCATCCCCAAAACACAGAGGTCCTGGTGGGGGAAAGCGTGACTCTGGAGTGTGGGGTGTCTGGACACCCTCTGCCTCGCGTTGTCTGGATGCTGAGCTCAGGGTCGCCCCTGCCCCAAAATCCGCGCTTCAACATCACCAGCTCGGGCGGCCTCTATATCCAAAATGTCACTTTGTCGGATGAAGGCAAATACAGCTGCAAAGCCTCCAACAGGGAAGGATCGATTACGGCAACGGCAAACATCATCGTGCAAGGTAGCCGTGGGACTATTATCGGCCAAATTTAGGTGATAAATTAGACCAAAGCCTAGTCCTCGTTTAGCGACCGTTTCAAAGCTGCAAAGGCCCTTGAAGAAAAAGTGACACGACCCGTTTTCCACACGACCGTTTGTAGCGTCCCCGTGGTCATTTGAGCAAAATTCAGACGCTTGGACGCTGACTCATATTTATGACAGACGCAGTGTCCTGGGGTCATGGCCAAGTCAACGGGGAAGCCAGAATCGCTGGCTTACTAACTTAACAACTGCACTGATTCACTTAACAACGGTAGCAAGAAAGGTTGTAAAATGGAGCAAAACCAGGGGTGCGCCTCAAAAATATTAGCAAGGGGTTCCCTGGCTGGTTGCTGGGTGGACGTGGCCATGTTGGGAGTGGCCTAGTCGGCCTCCTGCGCCACAGCAGGGAGGGGGCCGTTTTCGCCCTCCCTGGCCTCCAGAGGCTTTCCTTGAGACTCTGGGAGGGCGAAAACAGCCCCCCCCGGGCTCCGGAGGCTCTCTGGAAGCCAGAAACGGGCCCATTTCCAGGCTTCGCCAAACTTCCGGGAGGCCCGTTTTTCGCCCTCGCCGAGTCTCCTCACGTGCCGTGCACTTACCTGCATCCAAAATGGGTTACATGGGGGCTCCTGGGAGGGGAGGGGCAGAGTGGGCGGGGCCAGCCAGGAGTGGGGTTTGGGGGTTCTCCAAACTGCACAGAATCTTAGCTAGGGGCTCCCCCAAACCCCTGCGAATCCCCAGCAGCCCAGCCCTGGGCAAAACTCACTTCACTACTGTCTTGCTTAGCAATAGAAATTTTGAGGTCAATCGTGGTTGTAAGTCGAGGACAACCTGTAGTTGAGCGTGAAAAGAAAAAAAAAAAGATTAACTTGAAAGTTGCACCGCTAAGATGTAAGCTAGCTCTGTTCACTTAGTTCATTTATAGATTCTGCAAGTAATCCTTGATTTAGAACATAATTGGGACTAGAATTTCCATTGCTAAACACAATGTTTCTTAAGTGAATTGTGCCTGCTTCTACAACTTATTTTCTCACGGGTTGTTAAGCAAATCACTGCGGTTGTTAAGTGAATCATACGGTTGTTAAGTGAACTCTGCTCCCCCTCCCCCATTGATTTTGCTTGTTGGAAGCCAGCGGGGAAGGTCCCGAACGGCGATTATATGACCTCAGGACACTGCAACCGTCGTAAATATACATGGTTTGCCAATGGACTAGAGTTTGAAATGCTGCAGGAGGTGGGAGGACCAACTGTAAGTCATGTTTTTCAGTGCCGATGTAACTTCGAAAGATTTCTAAACGAATGGTTGTAAGTCCAGGGGTACCTGAAATTATTTAATTTTTTTTAAAAAATCTCCCCCCCTTGGGTCCTTATCAAAAAAATACGATTTGGTGGTACAGTGCATTACTGCAGGCTACTTCTGCTGACTGCCGGCTGCCTGCAATTTGGCAGATCGAATCCCACCAGGCTCAAGGTCGACTCAGCCTTCCATCCTTCCGAGGTGGGTAAAATGAGGACCCAAAATTGTTGGGGGCCATAGGCTGACTCTTTAAACCGCTTAGAGAGGGCTGTAAAAGCACTATAAAGCGGTATATAGTCCTCAGCGGTATATAAGCGGTATATAAGCGGTATATAAGTCTCAGTGCTATTGCTAAGTGGGAAGGAAGGAAGGAAGGAAGGAAGGAAGGAAGGGCCATGGTGGTGCCGTGGTTACAATGTAGCATTTCAGGTTAAGTCTGCCAACTGCCAGCAGTTTGATCCTGACCTGCTCAAGATTGACTCAGCCTTTCATCTTTCCGAGGTGGGTAAAATGAGGACACAGATTATTGAGAACAAGAGGCTGACTCTGTAAACCGCTTAGAGGGGGCTATAAAGCACTATAAAGCGGTATATAAGTCTAAGGGCTATTGCTATTCAAATGCTGATAGGGGACAAAGAACAGCAGTGAATTAGTTCCAAATCTTGCCCATCCATGACCTGATTGTTCATATAAAGATTCAATCCGTAACACATCTCGCTTCAACACAACTGGCAAAATTGCCACAGAGAACAGGGGTGACGCCAGAGGAAGTCGAGAAAAATCAACATGGTGGCCAGGATGAGGGAAATAAACACCCACCCTGTGTAGTATAAAAGGGATGGACCCTTGATTGTGTGAATGCAACCCACAACCTGAGACTGATACTTACCTCAACGAGGACACCCCCTCCTGCTAATTTTCAAATATAGTTTAATGTTTGTCAACCTCAGCCCTGAGAAGAGGTGTGGCATTCAACTGCCAGAATTCCCCAGCCGGTCTGGTCTTCTCAATCTTTCTCCGGGGTTTTAATGTGATGCTTGGTGAAAAGGAGGTTTGCACATTCCCGCGCATCTTGTAGAAGATGTCTCTTTTCCTTCTTTTCCTCCTGCAGATACCCCCAGATTTTTGATAGCTCCCAATGATCAGACCGCGACTGAGGGTCAAAATGTGGATCTGCCCTGCTCTGCGGATGGACATCCTCGCCCAGTCATATCTTGGACAAAAGAAGGTATTTTCTTGGCATTGCTGTCTTCTGTAAGGATTTAGAGTCATCGAATCATGAGCTGAAAGAGACCACCAAGATTGGAACTAGAAACTGCGTTTCTCATAACAGAATAACAGAGTTGGAAGGGACCTTGGAGGTCTTCTAGTCCAACCCCCCTGCTCAGACCCTATACCCATAATGGCAAACCTATGGCATGCATGCCGGAAGTGGCATGCAGAGCCATCTCTTTGGGCACACCAGCTCTTGCCCATTGCTCTTCTGCGTGCCAGAAACCGGAAGACCAGGTGGTCAGCATGCATGCACGTGCGGGAAACCGGAAGCGCACCGGGGAACTGCTCTTCCAAGTTTCCAGTGCTCCTGCGTGCACACTGGGGAGATGCTCTTCCGGTTCCTGCCTTATACCATTCCAGACAAGTGGTTGTCCAATCTCTTCTTGAAAGCCTTCAGTGATGGAGTACTGATTAATGGTTCTCTCTGTCAGGAAATTTCTCCTTCGTTCTAGGTTGCTTCCCTCCTTAGTTTCCATCTATTGTTTCTTGTCCTGCCTTCAGGTGTTTTGGAGAATATGTTGAACCTTCCCACCTGTTTTGTGTAACAGTTAACAGATAATCAGAGTTGGAAAGGACCTTGTAGGTCATCTAGCCCAACCACCCACCCAAGTGGGAGACCCTACACCATTTCTGACAAATGGGAGTCCAATCTCTTCTTGAAAGTCCCAAGTGATGGTGCTCCCACAACTTCCGAGGGCAACTTCTGTTCCATGGGTTGATTGTTCTCACTGTCTGTTTCTCCTTATTTCTAGGTTGAATCTCTCCTTGTTCAGTTTCCATCCATTATTCCTTGTCTGGCCTTCAGGTGCTTTAGAAAATAGCTTGACCCCCTTCCTCCTCTCTGTGGCAGCCCCTCAAATATTGGAAGACTGCTATCATATCTCCCTGGTCCTTCTCTTTACTAGACTAGCCAAGCCCAGTTCCTGTAACCATTCTTCATATGTTTGAGCCTCCAGTCCCCTAATCATCCTGGTTGCTCTTCTCTGCATTTTTTCTAGAGTCTCCATCTCTTTTTTTATATCACAAAGGACTTCAGCTTCTAGAATTCCCTTGTCAGCATGTTAAGGATGCTGAGGTTGAGAAATGCTGTTCTAAGGAAAGGTGTGGGAAGAAATTAGATCCCAGACTAATTTTAGGCCTGCACTGCCTTTGACTCTCCTTTTCATTAGTAACATGAGGTGCAAGCAACCAAAACCAGGAAACTACCCTACATTACAAACTAAACAAATACAATTTTGCAAAGATCACTTAATTTCTTTCAGCTGATAATTTTGGCAACCAGGCTAAACTAATTCAACCACGCAAATAAGTAGCAAACCAGGAAAATCTTTTAAAAGACAAACTTTTCTGAGCACACATGGGTGGGGGTCCAAAATTAACAAGTAGGCACACTTCAAAGAAAGATCTACACACTCAGTGAAGTAAGATAACCAAGGGTGTCCAACCTTGGACATTTTTAAAGATTTCTGGACTTCAATTCTCAGAATCCCTCAGTCAACCATGCTAGTTGAAGAATTCTGGGAGGTGAAGTCTCTAAGTCTTAAAGTTGTAAGTCCGCAAATCTTAAATTTGAAGTCCACAAGTCTTAAACTTGCTAAGGTTAGACACTTCTAGTATACACTTTAGAAACCCTACTATAAGTGTTGTATATACCCTTTTACTTAATACAGGGGTGTCCAACCTTGGCAACTTTAAGACTTGTGGACTTCAA